TGTTAGGTATACTGGGTGAGTCTTTGCAAGGATCAACACCAAGGTTAAGGTAGATGTCTGTGTAAAGAAAGAAAGGGTCCACATACATGTGTGTTGCATGGGTTAATCAATGTAAGTGAGTTCTCTTGCTGCAATGAACAGGGTATAACTACAGAGGTTTGAGTATACCATTTGGAGCTCTTTTCAAACTGCTGCTGAGGGTGTTAAGCTCTGTTATTTTTCTCCTGCAGATTGTCAAGACAATGCTCTTTGGAAAGGACCATTTGTTTTTTTAAGTAAGTCAATGAATCAAGCTATATTTTAGTTTGAATTATGTTCTGCTATATCCCTATAAAGCTGTTTATTTTCCTCTCTGCTGAAACTCTGCTGTAAAGGGTAAAGGAATTTTCTTTTTGCACAAACCTACTGCAACCCTGGTGTCATTTTATCTTCAAGGGCACTACAGTTGAACTTTACGTTTGGTGCTATAGAGGGAGGGATTGTTTTCTGGCACTAAAAACAACAACAAAACCTGGTTGAGCTTCTACTGCATAGTAGGGCTGCAAAGTAAAGTTATGCATTAATTGTGCTGTGCAATTCTTGTGCTGAATTGGAAAATGTGTGCAACTGAACCAATGTGCCAAATGTGCAACCAAAGGCATATCCATGAACAATGAGCATATGCATGAATAATTACACTTTATGTATATTCTTGAACAGAATGTAGACATTTCACTTTGGAGAAAAACTTTGGTAAAATGAATCTCAACAGAGAGAAATGTATGAATCTCATGTTTGTTGACAAACACGAGATTCACAGATACAGAATAGGTAACACCTGGATTGAAAACAGTCCGTCTGAAAGGGATCTAGGAGTCTGAATAAACCCAAGCTGAATGTGAGCCTACAGTGTGATGTGGCAGCAAAATAGCCAATGGGATTTTAAGCTGCATCAATAAGAGTATAGCGTTAAGATCCAGGGAAGTCATAGATCCATTCTATTCTGCTTTACACAGATCTCACCTGGAATACTGTGTTCAGTTCTGGGCACAATTCAAGAATGATATTGATAAAAAGAAATGTGTCTAGAAAAGGGTGACCAAAATAATCCAAGGTATGGAATCCAAGCCCTATGATGAACATCTGAGGGAGCTGGGTATGTTTAGTTTGGAGAAAAGAAGGAGAAAGGGGAACATGATAGGCATGTTTGAAATTTTGAAAGTGCATCACATTGAGGAGAGGGCAAGCTTATTTTCTGTTCCTTCAGAGACTTGGACACAGAGCAATGGATTCAAAATGTAGGAAAAATGATTCCACCTAAACATGAGGAAGAACTTCCTGATGGAAGAGCTGTTCGGCAATTGAATATGATGTCTTGGAGTGTGGTGGAGCCCCCCTTTCCGGAGGTTTTTAAACAGAGACTGGATGGCTATCTGTTGGGAGTGTGTTGATTGCGTATTCCTTGTGGTCTCTTCCAACTCTATGATACTATAAAAATGACCCATCACTTCCATAGAGGAACTTGAACATCAACAAAAAACTGAACAGGATTCCAGCCAGTGTTTTGTGCAAAATTATTAAGAGGTAAAGTTTTCCCCTTGACATTAAGTCCAGTCGTGTCTGACTGGGGGGTGGTGCTCATCTCCATTTCTAAGCCAAAAAGCTGGCGTTGTCCCTAGACACCTCTAAGGTCATGTGGCCAGAATGATTGCATGGAGCACCGTTACCTCCCCACAGAAGTGAGACCTATTGATCTACTTACATTTGCATGTTTTCAAACTGCTAGGTTGGCAGAAGCTGGGGCTAAAAGTGGGAGCTCACCCCACTCCCTGGATTCGAACCACTGACCTTTCAGTCAGCAAGTTCAGCAGCTTATCGGTTTAACCCACTGTGGCACCAGAGGGCCCTCTGCACAAAACCAAAAATGTTTTTTTTTTTTACAAAGAATATTGCTTCAGACATTTGAAAAATAACATGATCAGGATGCTTCCATCATCAACTTCTGAAAGTAAATAGAGAGGGATATGCTTAGATGGGAAATGCATGGGTCACAAAACACTCTTGCCTGGTTTTTGTGAAGTATTAGTCATTTCCAGACCTCCTATGTTCTGTTATCAGAACAAAATTATCTGGAAAAGGAGAATTTCTTTGCTTGGGAACCTCTTCTAGGAGTTGCAATTATTCTTTTAAGCAAGATACACACACACATCTTGTTTTGACGTCTTCAAAAGTGATTTATGAAAAGAGAAGTGAACTTCTGGTCACTTATGGTTTCTTTTGGATGAGATATTCTGCTAGCACTGAGTTTGTAGGTACAAATCTGGCTCATGAATCTTTGAAGTTTGACAGCCGCTCATATAAGACAAAAGGTGTTTAGGTTGTTGATGCATTTCAACAGAAGACAACAGCTAACACAAAGCTAGGAAATAACCACATAAATAACTAGTTGCTTATTGATTAATTTCTCCTTTTGCCCTGCAACACAAAGCTAATTAAGAATGGTCATTACCAGAGTTTGGAATTATTTAGTAATGTGTTAGTTTGTGTTTCCCCTTCCTGCGAAAATAGACTTAACTAGCAGAACTTAATCTTTCTGTGGTCCAAGGACTGAAGTTGGGACCTTTGGCCTTTGCATTTAAAACATATTTTCTGGTACTTATGTAATTAAAAGTAAGAGGAAAGCAGAAGATTGTCTTATTCAGTATACAGAAAAACAGTCTGCATATGCTCAGAAAAAAAATCAGAATACAATGTTTATTAATAATCTCTGATCTTAATTAGTTGACTTCAAATTGAGCTGGATCATTGTCTTCTAGAATGAAGACAATACTTCTCATTAACATTTTTCATTTCAAACAATCAATCCTGATGAAATGAAGAATGAGGGAACAGTGTGAACTGAAAGGGGAAATCCATATTATCTGCTTTGAACTGGATTATATACAGCAATGTAGACTCAGATAATCCAGTTCAAAGCAGATAATGTGGATTATCTGATTTGATAATGTGGACTATATGGCAATGTAGAAGGGGCCTGGGGCCCCTTCCACACAGCTGTGTAACATCCAAGTTGAACTGGATTATATGGAAGCAAGCACTCAGATAATCCAGTTCAAAGTAGATATTGTGGATTATCTGCCTTGATATTCTGGGTTATATGGCTGTGTGGAAAGGCCCTGGGTCAAAGAAAAGAGAGCAAGAATGAATCTTTTTAATTCAATGGAAATCTTATCACTAAAGTAGCAGAAAAGGTATTTTATCTCTTGTTGTAAAAGCTTAAATCTAAGATTTCTGTTTGCTATGTAGTTTCTGTACTTTTTTTCCTTTGAAGCAACTGGGCTGGTGTCTGCTGAACTCTTTCCTCAAAATCTTGACACAGTTCATCAATATATTTTATGTCTGCAGGGTATTTAAGAGTTGTTGCCATTTTGAGGTTCCACCAGGCCCTTCAAACTGAGATTACTGGATTAATAAAAGTGGGCTGTGCTCAGTTCTGATTATTTCATTACCAGAGAGATAGTAACAAATTGGAAGGAGCTTGGAGAAGAGTGGTGAAAACAACTCAGGCTGCCGAGGGATTGACTTGTGAAGGAAGATTAAAGAAAGTGAAACACAAACCTGAACTACAAGATAACCAGGAGAAAATATCAAGAAGACGATTTACAAATAACAGACAAGCAATAAACAGAAACTAATTTCAGATCAGACTAAGCATCATTTTGAGGAATACCACCTAGGAAAATCAGAAAGAATTGAATGATTTTTTTAAAAAACACAAGGTTAGAATGACTAGACTTACATGAAAAAGAAATATTTTTGTTTATGCCAAGAAATAAAAAAGGCATCTACACTTCTGTTTCAAAGAAATTCATATACACACACAAATGCATACACATGCATATATACACATACAAGATGGTCCACGGGTATAGAGAAATGTATGTGCTACAAACACAAAGAATACATAAAAAACCAGGAAGATACAGATCTTTTCAATTTGTAACCAAGCATTCCAAAATAAGATAATCACGAAAAACTATGGAAAAAGGTTTTGTCTACACAACTGGGTATAGACTTCAAAATTCAGTTTATTGAAATAAGCTCCTCCCAGCTGATGAGGTACAGTAATTCCTTGATTTAAGAGTGTAATTTGTTCCTTGATGAGAACTTAACTCAAAATGCTGCTCACATGTCAAAGCCAAACTAGGGCCGAGCAATGGCTCTTAACTCAAAATGATATTAAGTTGGGACACTTTTAACTGTATTATAGTTTAATGGTTTTCCAGTTTTTAGAAACCTTCCACGTAGAGAGGTAGCTGTGGGAGAGAAGAATTCTGCAATACAAATAAAGCTTTTCTTCAGCTTCAAATTTCTTGTGTCACAGGGAATGAGTTCACATCTAGAATTCTTGTATTTTGTCAGGGTTCATCCCTTTGGTAATCTTGCCTGCCCCCTTTCTCTGGATTGTTGTGTGCCTTCAAATAGTTTCTGACTTGTGGTGACCCTAAGGCAAACCTATCACAGGTTTTCTTTGGATACCTAAACAGTATATCCAAATGGTCAACAGAAGTAAAGATTTCTCCAACTATTACAAAGATAACCACCTGAAGCCTAACCCTGCCAAGACACAAGTGTGTGCTTTCCACCTACGTAATTGTGAAGCCAACAAGAAATTGAAAATTACCTGGGAAGGCCAAGAGCTTGAACACTGTTCCCACCCTAAATATCTCAGTATCACCTTAGATCAAGCACTAACATTTAGGAGACACCGTGCGAACACCAAGCACAAAGTAGCTGCAGGCAATAACATCCTGCAAAAACTTACAGATAGTGCATGGGGTGCAGATACAAAATTAGTAAGAACATCATCCCTGGACTTGTTTTACTGAGCTACTGACCTTGGAGGTGTCTATGGACAATGCCGGCTCTTCAGCTTAGAAATGGAGAGTAGCACCAACCACCAGAGTCGGACACGATAAATAAAATAAATAAATAACCTAATGTTTGCAAAGAAATCTTACCTGGTGAGGTTCGATGCCCATTTCAGTCAAGGCTGATTGGAAGAACATTTTGGCCGGCTTTCCTACCACTTCTGCTTGAATATCACAGGCATACTAAAAGAGAAGAGAAATTAACTTTGCATGTCACACAACATATGCGTCGGAACAATTTATGAACTGAGAAGTTAGTCACAAACATCAAAATGTCCTTGCTTTTGGAAAACCTAGACTGATCTGATAGTTGAGCAAGGTAGAAAGCTTCATTGCTCTGCTGCAGCTGTATCTTTTTTATTTCAGGAGAACAGCATCCCTTTGTGAATATCTTATGTCTTCCAATGCAAGACTCAACTTTAGTATCTTCTTTTTTTTAACTAACACCACAGTTCACATATAAACATACAACCCTATGAAGAAAATTAAAGCTGGATCACCAGTTCTCAGTCAATATTCCTGTCTTTGTTTGTAGCCTTCTACCCTATATGCAAACTCTTAAATAAGAAAGAAAAGAGATACATGGCCATGACAATGGTGTTCTTGTGGGGAAGGCTCTCAAACTGTGGGTTCTCAGGTGTTTTGGCATACAACTCCAAGAAATCCCAGCTAGTTTACCAGCTGTTAGGAATTCTGGGAGTTGAAGGCCAAGACATCTGGGGACCCACAGGTGTTAAGAACCACTGTTGTAGGGCCATTACTCTGCTCTAGAGACCATCTCAATTTCATATCAGATGACATTTGTTCTTTACTGTTTGCCTCACTTAGTATAGAATGAATGAGTTGTTCATTGTACTAGCCATAGGCCAAGACATCAAACAATATACAACTTTTAAAGTACAGTATACACTTTCCAATATAAAAATTAAAACTAGCTCTTTCAAAGTACAGCAGCAGTGACAATTGTTGTAGGCATGATAACAATAATAAAATCTGATTTGTAGTATCCCAAACTATTTCTATTTCCATTTCCAGCCTCCGCTATGGACTTTACAAATTTAGCTCGGATTTCTTTTGGGCTACAACTGCAAATGTGGCAACCTTTAATATTATATTTTTTTTGAACAATACACTAACAGGTCACAGATAATTGCTGACTATTGCTATGCTGTCCTTTCTTCCAGAAGGTCTCCCAGGAGATTGTTTCTGGGGTCATTACACAAAGAGAAATGTAACAGATAATGTATTAAATCTCTTTTCCCCGACCCACAAATGCAAAGTCTTTGAGCATGCGCAATCCCTCTATATTTCCCCTCTAACCAGCCTGATAGCATTGTCTGGAAGAGCAGGGCTGTAAATGCTTTCCTGAGGACTACAGATGTTAAGTCTTGAAGATATTGTTAGCAATATTGGTCACTCTTTATTAGGGAATACCAAGTAGTGAAACCCTGCTGTTTGCTACACCGCAACTTACCAGATGCATCTATCTCAAAGATTTTATCTCTAATCGACTTCTTGTCCAACTGTAACAGGGCTGTTGTTGACCCGTCAAAATACTGATGGAGCAGGGCCAACTAATATTGAGCCCAGCCTCCCGCTTCTATTGCAACATCAAGGATTGCTTTGTTATACTCTCATCCTCCATTTCCAAAAGTCTCCTTCCATATGAGATATTGAACTTATGTTTGCCTCACTCTTTGCTTTGCTTTGTGACCTGTATTTTAGTTTGTAGGGTTTTTTTTTCATATCTGGAGCGACTTGAGAAACTGCAAGTCATTTCTGGTGTGAGAGAATTGGCCGTCTACAAGGATGTTGCCCAGGGGACACCCAGATGTTTTGATGTTTTACAATCCTTGTGGAAGGCTTCTTTCATATCCCTGCATGGGGAGCTGGAGCTGACAGAGGGCGCTCATCTGCGCTCTCCCCGGATTTGAACCTGTGACCTGTTGGTCTTCAGTCCTGCTGGTACAAGGGTTTAACCCATTTCGCTTATAGGGGCTCCAGTTTGTAGGGTAACAAGAAAATAGTTGGATTACAACTCCCAGAATCTATTGACCACCAAGGCCAATGGCTGCGCAAGCAAGGACATTCCACAAGCTGTCATCCAAAACATTATCTTTCTAATGTGTGCTTCTTAAAAAGTCAAAGCTAGATTGAAATAAGACAGTTGGGCATTTTCTATAGAACCCAGTATAGTGTCTTCCCACCTTCAGTTTCTAAATCTTCAGTTTCTATCATAGAAGCTGGAAACGTGTGGCCACCAGGAGTTGTGGGAGTACAATTTCCATAATCGTGAGCAGTTATAGGAACTGATTTTAATTCCAAATCAATAGGATCTGGAGGGCCACAGGTGTTCTGAACTTTGTTCTAGTACAGAAGTGGGCTACTGGAGGAGGCAGGGCACACCAAAGAAGTAACATTGCATTATTTTTGGTTTTGACTTCAACAGATTTGTGGGTCTACTAGTAGTGGCATTTTGCTTTTGTCATATGCTAGTGTGGTGGTCCAAGCCACTGCATGAGTCATTTGAGGAGGGGGAGGTTGCAAGTAAAAAAAAAAACCCAGCCCCAAAATATTTTGAAAATTTGGGCCTGACGGGTCATCAGGGATGTTTCAATGGCTGTTCCCAGGTTTTCACTTTGCACACCTATGTCCGAGTATAAGGGTTTGTGCCTAGTATGTCCTAGTATAAGCCATTTGTGCCTTAAGAGTGCTACAAACTTGACTGTGCAGTTCAGGGCTTAATTTTTATATTATAATAAGCTACATATTATTTCAAGTTATAACATACCTCTAATGCTTTCATATATGCTCCAACATCGAGTTTCAGGCCATCCGTTTCTTTATAATAGCGTCTGAAAATGAAAAGGTTAAAATGTAAACAAAAAATGAAATTGTTTCTCCTTAATACAAGACACCAAGTTATTCCTTTAATGTCAAAATCGGTGTTGTAGTAGTACATGAATTTAGGTGAGTCACACACATTCCTCAGCTTATGAGCCAGATATTGAAGGATGCTCTGCCCCCTGCCTCAGCAAGTGAGAGCCCAAAAGTGGCAGGTGAAAACCCTGAACCTCAATAATTGGCTGAGACCAGATGAGAAACTCCCTCTAGGCACACAGAAGATTGAGCAACCTGGAAGGTGCTGAACAGGCTGCGCTCTGGCACCACGAGATGCAGAGCTAAGCTTAAGAAATGGGGCTACAAAGTTCAGTCCATGACACGTGAGTGTGGAGAAGAGCAAACCACAGACCACTTACTACAATGCAATCTGAGATCTGTCACGTGCACAATGGAGGACCTTCTTATAGCAACACCAGAGGCACTCCAAGTGGCCAGCTTCTGGTCAAAGGACATTTAGCATAATGCCAAGTTTGTAAGTTTGTGCTTTTAAATGCCTTATAACTATCCTCAATTCACTGCTGATACAATAAATAACTGTCTTGCCCAATTGATCTCTATAGACAGGTCAATTTTTTTTTTATAAAAGATGGGTGAATTCACTAGTTTGCTGACAATTACCCAAGCATCCTCCTGAAGATATACATCTTTAACACATACTTCCTTTTCTCCTTATATATGAAACAGTCCTAACGATTAGTTTTTCTTTAACCGACTCCAACTAGGAATGCAAAATTAAATCATCTGGGGTGTCTTGCTTTAGCCTGACAAACCAATTCTAGTGCTTCTCTTTGGAAACGCTAAAATGGGATTTATTTTCAAGTAACCATGATTGGCAATAAAATACATATACCAATGGTTTTTTTTGTCAATGGGTGTTCAGAATATTATTTGGAGTATTTCTATTTTTGTATGAAATTGTAAGAGAGAAAGCCAGCATAATGCAAGCGCTTTCTTTTCAAATCTCGATAGATAGATAAATAGCTAGAGAACAAAAATGTGTAGTATGAGCAGTCAGATAAGATTTTATGCTTTATCCTTCTGCCATTTTCGATTATTCAGCACAACCTCTCTTTAAAATGACCACTTGACCTTTGCTAGAACAGCCATTAACCTTCTATAGTCTAGCGTAAACAGCTTAATTTTCTGACAGTGGCATGACAGAAGAAATTACAAAGCCAATTCCCACTCTCAGCCCAAAACAGATGCTAAATGTAAATCACTCCATCTTCAAAAGAACATTCTGCTCCAGTAACTCTGATGCTCTGGGTTTCTAGAGATCAATCTAAAATTTTAGCCCAAACAATGCATCTTTCATAAAAAGTGAGTTTGAAGATATGACTGTTGTCAACACTTGTATGCTTCATATAATGTTGCGGATATCACATAAGAACAAAAAATGTATTTTACTACTTCTCTTATTACCATGTATGCATTGTTTCCAATTCAAGAAAGAACACATCACATTTTATCAGAAGGCAATAACAGATTGTTTCCATTTGGAAACTCTTACAAACTTAAATAGTTTGAAACATCCATTGCACAGCCACTGTACACTTCATATTCTTGCAAAATTTACCTCACACAAGTCGGCTCTCATAGATCCATATTTACTACATGTAATGCCATGTGTCAAGCTCAAGGCCTGTGGTCCTCCATGTCATTTTATGTGCCTGGCCAGGTAACGGATCACAACTCCAGCATTTCTCATCATTAGACCTCATGTCTAGAGCTGATGGGAATTGTGATAAAGGAACATCCCAAAAATCAAGTTTGTTCTGTTTAGTCAGGATAGCGTTTGATTTTAGATATAAGTCTTGTGGATATGGTGTCCTTTCACCTTTCCACTACCCCAGAGCCACAAGTGCTGATGAGTTGCAATTCCCATTATCCCTAGTTCATATGGCAGGTAATCAAAATGATGGGAGTTATCATTCATTAATATCTGGGGATCCAAACTGGGTAAAACCACTGTGTCAAAAATTATAGTTGGCCCTCTGAATCCACAGATTGTCAATGGATTCTGTGGCTCTCTGAAGACAACTATAAGGCTGATGTGGTCCTTGATGAAAATTATTTTGACACCTCTGACATTGGAAATCAGAACTTCCTACACCTAATCTTGCTTCTGAATTTCAACCAGTTCAAAAAGACGCCCATATCCATGAGGGATATATTCCCAGCCAGACCATAGTTACCTGAAATTGTGGATATGGAAATATGCTATTAAATTCCAGTCCCAAAATACCCCAATGTTGCACCAGTGGACTTAGATTCGTAGAGAGGTATTCTTTTTAGAAAATTGATACGTTCTCCAGTGAATTCTACGGTAATTCCCAGGGGAAGCATACCATAGAATTGTGCTATAAGACATAGCAAATACCGAAACCATTTTTCCACAAGTGCAGTTAAATGAAACCACAGATATGAGCATTTAGATATGGGTATATGGGCTGTACTGTATTTGCCTTTTATGAAAGCACCTCTCCAGATATCAGACAGAGATCATCAGATTATTTTAACTAATGCTGATAAGAATGGACATATGATCTTCTGCATTAAAACACATGCTTAACACTGAGCTAACTAGCATTCTTCCCAAAATAACGAGAACGTAAGTGACAAGAAGCTAGCATAGCTCGTTAATTTCCAGCAATACTAGTATTGCTTGTATTTCATTGATTAAAAAAAACAACCTTATGTGACTTTAGAGTAGAACAGACAACTCCGCATCTGTATGCTTGTCCACTATGCCCTGCCTCATGTACAGAGGCTACAGACTGTTGGAGGCTACAGACAATGCCATTGCTGTTGCCCATTTTTGGTCAAAAGATATTTAGCCCCCTGTGCTCCTTCTATTTTTATCAGTTTTATACTAATTTATACAATGCTTTTGATACAAAATAAATAAAATAAATAAATAACATTCATTGACTGGGGAACTTTGTAAAGATGTAACTTACCCTTTTCCTAGGGACAGCAGCACTGGATTCTCCAGACCAATGAGAACTCTGAAGGCATCATTAAGATTTTTGTACGAAAAATTGTCTGCTGCATCACCGACCACCACACAGTTTGGACTTGATTTGTCAATGCCATCAAATTCAGGGAGAACATCTAAAATAAAATAAACCAAACACAAAGATACCTCAGTTAATAATGCATCTGGTGGTGAAGAGATGCTAGAGAATCATAGACCTTTGACATGGGATTCGAATATTGCTATAGGAAACAATAAATGAACAGAAGGATTACATACTAGCAGGATTACATACCACAGCATTTTGTGCTTACCTAGAACATGTAAAACAACATTTGTGAACAGCAAAATAGAGAGAAAGTGAAACAGCAGACAAACCAGTCCCCTAACACATTAAGAAAAGTTAGAGAGAGCTATTATTTTGGTCACCAAAAGAAAAATCATAACAAATGGAATTTGTTCTTTTTTTTTTTAAGTAATCTTTTGATGCATGTTTGTAAAAGCCTTCAAGCAGAGCTTTCCAGACATTTCATGTGGGTGACGTACTTTCTAGATATGCATAATTTTCAATACAGTATCTCAGTTTTACTAGCAAAGTGGGGGCTAAACCAACCCCTTACAAGAGATAAGGACACATACATGGATTGTAAGTATGTACTGTTTGGAGATACAACATTTCATGAAAACCATTCATTTATATTTATAAAAAATATGATTTATTGCTTATTTCTCATAGGCATAGAAATTTCTCATTACATTCGCATGACACACTGCAGCTGAAACACTAACATATTGTAATACATAGTTTGTAAAGTTTTGCTCTAGAAGGTTCAAAATCTGTGTGTTTACTTATGCAAGACTTCCCTGATCTGGTTGTTATATTTTTTTGCATGTGCATACTGTTGGTTTTGAACAAAAGGTTTGTAGAAATATGTGGAAATTCTCTTTTGCACACCTATAGTTATTCTTTCTATGTCATTTAGCTTTTGGTGCCAAATTCTTTTTAAGGAAGCAATGCTCTGGAACATATCTACTGGTGTATGGGGTAAAGGTTTCACCTGACATTAAATCTAGTCATGTCCGACTCTGTGGATTGATGCTCATCTCCGTTTCTAAGCCAAAGAGCTGGTGTTGTACATAGACACCTCCAAGATCATGTGGCTGGCATGACTGCATAGAGCACCATTATCTTCCTGCCGGAGCGGTACCTATTGATCTACACACATTTGCATGTTTTCGAACTGCTAGGTATACTGGTGTATACCTGTCATTAATACTTTTTAAAAATATTTTTTATTCCATTTCCAGTGAGAAAGAGTATTAGAAAGAAGGTAGACACATAAACTATAGCTACATTGGTTACACAATAAACAAACAAAAAGGAAACATTCACATATACTCCAACATTCATTCATTGTCCATGCATACAATACCATCTCTTCTTCCTTCTACTGGAGAATAGATTATAACAAAAGCTACATTGTGTTCCCTGCAAATCTGCCATTCTGCCAAATACACCACCTTTCTCCATTCCTTGGAGAAAGCGGTGGACATACAGAATCTGTGCTCCTGCATCTGCCACACTTTTGGAAAGTGAAAAGGTCTCTTATACAACACATTTCTTGCTGTTGTTGTTCCAAAAAGTTGTAAATGGCTGACAGGTTGTTTTACAGTTAAAACTTGCTGACTCCATCAATTCTGGACTGATGTTGGTTTTCCTTCTTAAGTAAGGTGTATTGTGTTTGCTTCTTTAACTTTTTTTTTAAAAAAATCATTTTTGACTATGTAAACATGTTGTTTTCCACCACAGAGTTACTCATTGTCTCTGGTTAAATCAGCAGCTTAGTAGTTTTTCTTTCATCAGCTTTTTTACAGTTTTCCAGGCTTCAATCTTAGAATGGTATCTTCAGTCTCTATGGGCCCCAGTCATACACCTTTCACACAATTTCATTCAAAACACACATCACATACCTATATTGCAAAGTCTCAAGAAATCATGCACTTTTTTCTTCTTTTGATAAAGAAATGCAACCTGGTTAAACTGGATCAGTCCAATCATGCTTAGAGTTATATATTCTAACTGTTATTTTTACTCCCTTGTATTTTGCAGTAAACCACAAAGAGTAAAAAGAGAAGAAAGGTGAAATTATTCTATTTTAAACATTTATAGTGAACTACATTATCTACATGATAATCTCATGTTGTTAAAAGAACAGCAACATATAGATTTTATTTATCAACAGGCTTGGGGCAAGGGACACAACATTCTGGAGTAGGAAAAAAGTTTCCTAAAAATAAAATAACAATGGTGGAAAACTGAACAAAATAGACTTATGTACTCAGTAGGCACAGAACCATGACTGTTACATGAAAAGGAAGCAGAAAACCTAGAGGGGTATTACTGACATTTTGCACACTTTATACACAACCATTTATTGCACATCTGACTCATTTTTGTGATAACATTCAGTGGAAGAACACAGGAAAAGACAACTCAAAATTCAAAACAACCAATACAATTGATACCCCAGATCTCAGCAACAAGTTGCCATATGCAGCGCATTGTTTTGGGGACTTTGCCAAGGTGTTTTTGCATAAAGCACACCTTGGTTTTAAAGATCTAACAGTGATGATAGCATACTCATGCTGTGTTAAATGATGCTTTATGCCCATGCAGTTCCCTCTTCCCCCCTCTGAGTGTCTTTTGCTAGTATGCCACAATTTCAGGTCAGGTCATAAGCTACAGGGCATCTCAAAATGTAGACACTTGATTGTTGGGAAAGAAAGCAAGTGTAGCTTCAACATGGCAAGCAGATATTGGAAATCAACTTGACACCACAAATATGCAGTTCAGCACTTTAGCAGTGTTCAGGGACACAACTTAAGAGCAAAAGTATACATCACGGTTGTGTCAAAACTTAATGCTTTTGATTTTCAAGATGAATTGACATATCTGAAAATGTGGCCATGTAGGTGCTTTGAAAAAATGAGAGAGAATAAGAGAGGCTGAAAAAAATTCTTTAACTTGAATGCATTTTATTTTACAATACTGTAGGCTCATGGATCCAGGCATCATGGATACATAAAATTTACTAGGTTGTTGTAGGTTTTTTCAGGCTATGTGACCATGTTCTAGAGG